TGCTGATCAATACCGGGTAATTATAAGAAATAATCTTATCCCAGAGGCTAGACGCAATACCATCAGAAGCGAAGTCGAACGGGAGATTAATCACCAAGAGGTAAATGTAGATCAAGTCCCTAATGAAAGACATGAGCAGATTCCTGAGCTTACCATACAAGAAACTCAACCTGATAATACACTACAGGACAACAACGAGTTACGCGATACTCTGGTAAGCGAAATGGCACGAGCTGTACAAGAGTTTAATGGAACAAATCCACTTAGCAGACCACCGCTACCAAAAATAAACTCTTCTAAAAAACTAGGTGCTCTGTTACAAATTATAAATACTGAAGTCCTACCCAATTACGTCGTAGAAGCCCATACGCTGGAATATTTGCATATGCTTATTTACTGTGCAGCAACAGTAACAGCTAATATAATGGGAATTAAGATCAGAACACGACGGGGTACCAATGCCGGAAGGACTGATAACAGAGTTGCACCCTGGGAGAAACGGCTTCTAAACAAGATTGAATTACTGCGTAGGGACATTGGTCAAATGACAGAATATATACGAGGAACAACAAGTAGAAAAGTCATTAAAAGAGCTGATCAAATAATGCTAAGCACTGCAAGACACTCGCAATATGATCCAGTAAACATCACAGCCCATCAGTGCCTGGATACATTAAAACAAAAACTCTCCGTTTATTCCGGACGACTAAGGAGGTACAAGGTTAGCAACAGCAGGAAAAGTGACAATGCACTTTTTGAGCATGCCGAGAAGGCATTCTATCGGAAACTTAATTCCACTGCCGAAAGTGCCAATAAATCATACCCAAGCCAAGAAGACATTCAGGAGTTTTGGGGAAATCAACTTTCCACACCAGCTGCTCTTAACACCAATGCTGGATGGATAGTAGATACGACGCACAGCTGTCAACACTACCGCACAACTGTTTATGAACCCTTCACCACAGAAGAAGTCTCTAATATCATCAAAGAGCTTCATAACTGGAAATCTCCTGGACCAGACGGAGTTCAAAACTTTTGGCTTAAGAAGTTCTGGAGTGCTCATGAGTGCTTGTCAACATTAATTAATCGCGTTATTTCTAATCCGCAGGAAATACCATCATTCCTAACTCAGGGAACGACTTATTTAATACCGAAGGATCAAAATAATACCCAAGATCCAGCCAAATACCGCCCAATTACGTGTCTTCCAACTCTGTATAAGTTGGTCACATCCTGTGTAGCCCAGCGTATCTACCAACACTGCGCTCTAAACAATATCATAGAACCTCAACAGAAAGGATGCGCTAAGGGCTCCATGGGTTGCAAAGAACAACTTATTATCGACTCAGTCATTTCTAACCAGGCATACACCAAAAAAAGGAACCTCTTCACTGCCTTTATTGACTATAAGAAAGCCTTTGACTCAGTACCGCATGAATGGCTGGTAAATATATTAAGAATATATAAAGTCGATGATAATATAGTGACCTTCTTAAGACATATAATGACAGATTGGAAGACTAAAATTCACCTCCAAATACCTGGTGAAAACAATATCGAAACGGAAAATATCGCAATTAACCGCGGCCTATTCCAAGGAGACTCGCTGAGTCCCTTGTGGTTCTGTCTAGCGATGAACCCACTATCCCAGCTATTAAACTCTAGTGACTCAGGTTTTAGCATTAAAAACAACAACAATGTAGTGGCAAAGCTTAATCATCTGTTGTATATGGATGATTTGAAACTAATGGCTTCCACTCGAAATCACTTAGATCAAATGCTAAAAACTGTGGAAACTTTTTCAAATGATATCAGTATGCACTTTGGGTTAGACAAATGTCGTGTATTAAATATAGTAAAGGGAAAGGTTCAGCCCGGGGGATTCGATATGCAAAGTGGCCAAAACATCGAGGCTATGGGCGAAAATGATATGTATAAATATCTAGGAGTAAAGCAAGCGCGGAAAATTGACCATAAACAAATGAAAATGGAATTAACATCAGAGTTCATACGAAGAGTAAAACAGCTACTCCGCTCACATCTTAATAGTAAAAATTTGTTTAAGGCATTAAACACCTATGCATTTTCCGCGCTTAGCTACTCATTTGGTATTATTAAGTGGACTAAAACGGATATAGAAGCTCTTCAGAGAAAAGTACGAACACACCTCACAAAGGCACAAAAACACCATCCTCGAAGTGCAGTAGAAAGAACGACATTACCGCGGTATTTAGGAGGACGAGGACTTATTGATATAAGCGAGCAATTAGAAAAACAGATTAATAATTTAAGAACTTATTTTCAGATGCAGGCGGAGACATCTACTCTTCATCGCGCGATTTGTGCAGTAGATGATACAACACCGATCAAACTGAGGGAACAAGAAATGCGCATAGACCATCTTACTAAGAACGAAAAAATGCGCATCTGGATGGGTAAACCTCTACACGGGCGACATCCGAATGAGGTCAGTCAAGACTATGTCGACAATATAGCGTCGAACTATTGGCTGACATCAGGAAAGATGTTCCCTGAAACAGAAGGTTCATTACTCGCCATTCAGGATCAGGTTATACCAACCAAAAATTACCTGAAATATATTGTCAAAGACCATCAGGTCCAAAACGACAAATGCCGATATGGATGCCAAGCCCAAGAAACGATCCAACATCTTACCGGAGGCTGCCAGGCATTTGCTGCAACTGAATATAAGGAACGGCATGACTCAGTAGGGAAGATCCTCCATCAAGAGATAGCTATTAAACTGGGACTTCTACAAACAAACCATCTCCCATATTATCAATACGTTCCAGAGAGTATGCTTGAGAATGACAACTACAAGCTATACTGGGATCGCACTGTGCTCACAGACCAAACTGTAGCACATAATAGACCAGATCTCGTGCTAGTTAATAAACTAACACGACAAACAACTCTAATCGATGTGGCGATACCTAACAACAATAATCTGCGTGTTAAGTACAACGAAAAGATCGCCAAGTACAGAGATCTGGAAATACAAATAAGGAGACAATGGAGAATGGAAAGTACCCAGACGATACCTATTATTCTTTCTACCACTGGAGTCATTCCGAAGAACCTCCTAGAAAACATAAAAAAGCTGGGTCTAAATGAACATCTATATAAGATCATGCAGAAATCTGTGCTACTTTCGACGTCCAGATGCGTGCGAAAATTTTTGGGAGATACACCGACGTACCAAGTCACCTAGGACTCGATAACATGGAAAGAGTCCCACCAGAGCTCAATCCTTTTGATACCGTAGGTATCTGGGATGAGTGAATTTTCCCCTTAGAGGGAGTGTGAGCCGTATGGCTAAATCTGGAATATGTATGTATGTTAAAATGTACGTTTTAGATCTGTTGAAGAAGTTGACAGTCTTTAAGATAGGAACAAATTTTTCGGTTATGTGTATTTTCTTCTAGGGCATCTTTTAGGGAGCTAGGTATGTTATATTTGAGTCGTTCACTGTTATATTTGGGACACTGTATTAAAAAAAATGTTTTACCGTTAGAACACTGTTGCACACTTCACACACTGGTTTGTTTTTGCGTTGTAATAAATAGTCATGAGTAAGTCGTGTATGGCCGATACGGAGACGGGTAAGTATCACTTGTTCTCTTCTGTCTTTTATTGCTGGTTTCCATAGATGTGGGTGTTTGTTGATTTCGTATAGCCTTGATGGAGTGTTGTTCCAAGTTTGTTGCCATTTGTGAATTATTTTTTGTTTTAAGTATGGTTTTAGATCGTTTTGTACCAATATGTTGCTTTCTTCGGACATCGGGTTAGTTGGTGCGTTTTTGGCCAGTTTATCTACAGCTTCGTTACCTTCAATTCCTACATGAGAAGGTACCCATAAAAAGTGCACTTGGATGTTGTTATTTGAAATGTTTTTAAGTCCTTTTTTAATAAGAAGTAGAAGGGGGTTGTCACAGTATAATTGAGTCAGTGAGGTTAATAAACTTAGAGAATCTGTGATTATTATACATCTTTCTTTGTTTTTGTTTTGTATTAACGATAGTGCTTTTAGAATTGCGAATAATTCAGCCGAAAAGATGGTTGTAATTGATGACAATTTGAAACTAACTGAGGAGTCTTCCGAATAAATTGCTGCTCCAACTCTGTCTTCATTTTTTGACGCATCTGTGTATACGTTGTAGGTATTGCTATATCTGTTTAATAGTGTATGAAACTTTTGTTTAATGACGGTTGATGACATCTCTGATTTTCTTAGGTTTGTTAGACTGATGTCGATAGCAGGAATAGATATTGTCCATGGTGCAGGGTTGTGGATTAATGAGGTATCATAGGTTTTTGGAAATTGAAAATTTAATTTGGATAAGTATGATTGTATACGAAAGTAAAAAGGATGATCAATTTGATGTGTTTGTTGAAATTTATTTGTAAATCGGTCAGCAAAAACGTTATGCAGTACTGGATTATTTCGGTTTGATGACACTGCCGCTGCATATGTTAGGCTTAGATATTGTCTTCTGAAAGAAAGAGGAAGTTCTCCACTTTCCCAATAAAGACTTTAAGCTTTGTTTCATTCTACAGAAAAAGTGTTAAAAAATATTTTTGTTCAAAATTTTCTCAGCTTCATTTTTGATGTGAAACATTTTTTCTACGGTTTACAGATTATTGGTAAATCGATTTTTTCAGTTCCCCTCCGCTACGAAGAGGGTTATATGGAGAAACCCAGGTGTAGATGTGACAAACTTTTTTTACATTTTTTTGGGCACTAAAATTGACATTCTCAGCAAAATTCAGCTTGTTCGTATAATTTTTAGATGTTCAATGGTATTTTCGTCTCTGACGACTGGAGTATAATTTAACTAGACTATGTAGACAGATAGATTTACACTTATATCCAATATAAATCGATCTCTTTTAACTACTCATGCAAAGTAGGGAATTTAGCATCAGGTTACAACTTTATAAGTTCCGGGATTCGAATTCTCTACAAAATAAAATTGTTCATTTCTCTCATACACGGTATCTAGAAATGAGGTTTCTGTAAAAGCAAACCACAAAAAGTTTTGTACGTTGTAAATTTACACAGTCCGCAAAGACAATATTTGTTTTCTAGTATATCAAGTGCATTGTTTAATATTCAAGATAAAATAATAGAAAGTCGCGTCTGGCGTTGTTTTTAATTTAAAGTTTTCAATTGTTCTACAACTGCGAATAAAATGCTTGATGCTGAGGAGACCCCATTGAATTTATTTCAAAGCCATGGATCGTCTGGATCGTATGTGAGTATTTCATTTTATTTTTAATTAACCATATTATTATTTTCATTATATATCTTGTGCTTTCTACTAAAATCTTTGTAGACTTTCTTTAAATCTTCTTTTATACATTGGCTAGCTTTTTTATCTATTAAAATATAAAAACTTTTCAATTTATTTCTACACTACCATGTTCCATTTTGTTCCCAACAAAGTGGAACAAAGCATTGGCAATTCTATTAAACAAAAACAAGATGTGACCAACCTTTACAATCATCTATCTATCTATCTATAGCAGGGGCGTGCGGTGCATGGATGCAAGGGATGCATTGCATCCCCTAAAATCTAAAATTTATTATCAGTAATTAAAACTACATAATCATATTTTAAATTGATTTGTAATAATTCAAATATTTAAAGATAAAATACGTTTTTCAAGAAATCATTAAATTACTTTACGAATGCAATTACTGGCAACAGCGCACGGTGATTGTAATATATCTTTGGATGCATTTTCTGGAACCAATACCAGCCAATACCATTCTGATCGCGCTAGCATCACTTCAATTCGGCAGCACACGTCGACTCTCGGGGCCCGGGCCCAATTTTTATAGATTTGGACCGGCATTTTTAAGAATACTGGATGCAATATTATATTTGCTTACCATAGGCAAGGCGACTGGAGTAGTTCGCATATGACATTGTAATACAGTGCGTGTTTTGCATTTATATTAATTCGAGTAGTTTTTGCTGTGTTTCACGTGTTTTAATTTTATTGTACGTATATGTATATATTTTATTTCATTTTACGTATATGTATATATAATAATTTAAGTAGTTTTTCCGAAATGAATTCAGATTTACCCCAACCGTGTACAAGTTCTCAATCCTGTCAGGAAAACAGTAATGGACAGTGTTGTATTGTGTGCGATTTATTAAAATGTGGATTTTCAAAATTTAACTTTCAAGAAAAGTGTAATATTATATCTGTAGGCAGGCCAAAACCATTACTGGAAATTCAAACCAAGTCGACGAAATGTACACGTTATTTTAACAAAAATATATACGATTCCTTTAAGTGGTTGACAGGTTGTAAAACTCTCTCAAGATTATTTTGTTTTCCGTGTATATTATTTAATATAAGTGATAAAAACGTGTGGAATAGTACGGGTTACTCAGATTTAAATAATTTGCACAAATCTATAAAACGACACATTTTAAGTAAAACGCATTTAGAAGCAGTTATAAAAGAAAAGACTTTTGGGAAAACCCGAATTGATCACGCTCTAGATAATCAGCTTAAAGTTAGTCACCGCATGCATAATGAGCAAGTAAAAAAAAATCGTGAAATATTAAAAAGACTGATTCATATTACATGTTTCCTTGGAGAACATGAACTTAGTTTCCGAGGGCATAATGAAAATTATGAATCTGTAAATAGGGGAAATTTTGTGGATTTAGCAAATTTTTTATCTGAATATGACGAACTATTAAAAAGTCATTTAGATCAATCTACTGTATTTCGAGGTACCTCGAATAGGATACAAAACGATTTGATCAAGTCTGTGGCAGATATTGTTCTGCAAAAAATCAAAGAAGAAATAAAAGAAGCACAATTTATTTCCATTGTTCTAGATGAAACTACAGATATCGTGAATTTGAGTCAATTGTCGGTTGTTCTGCGTTACATCAAAAATAATGGTGAAATACAAGAACGATTTTGGGGATTTTTGGATATAACTGCAGATAGATCGGCAGAAGGTATATATAGACATGTCTGTAATATAGTTGAGGAACTGGACTGTGGTTCCAAACTTGTCGCTCAAAGTTATGATGGAGCTGCCGTAATGGCTGGGCACCTCGGAGGACTTCAAACCAAAGTTAAGGAGAGGTTTCAAAATGCAATTTTTGTGCACTGCTTTGCACACAGGCTAAATTTAGTTCTAGCGCAATCAGTCGCACTCAATAAGACTTGCAAGGTATTTTTCCAAACCTTGAGTGGAATGGCTGCTTTTTTTTCTAAATCTTCCAAAAGAACACATGCTTTAGATGTCATTCTTCAGAAAAGGTTCCCTCGAGCAGCTCCCACCAGATGGAATTACAATGGGAGGTTAGTAAAAACAGTTTCCCAATATCGGCAATCCCTAATAGAGTTATTTGAAAGCATTTTGGAGCATAAAGACCATTGGGACCCTGAAACTGTGAATTCCTCAAGAGGTTATTTGGAATTAGTCAAACGAGATTTTGATTTTAATTTTTTGCTTCAAGTATTTTCTGAAATATTTCCTTATACAGACATTTTATTTGATGTATTGCAGACTAAATCAAATGATATCGGATTTTGTATTAAAAAAATTAACGAATTCGAAGTCCAAATCAACAGACAGAGGGAGCAATTTGATATCATGTGGCAAAAAACTTGCGATCTAGAAGAGATGGAACCCAAGAGAAAACGCATTAGAATTGACGATGTAGGCGACACAAAAATATCTTATAATCGACTTTTTTGTGAAATAATAGATAATATTTCCCAGCAGCTTAAAGAAAGATTTAAAAACCTTTGTGAGTTAAGATTTGTGGAGTTATGCAACTTCAATAAATATGCCGACTGTAGTTTCCCGGATGAGGCTTTTAGTTGTCTAAAAAAACATTATGCAAACTTTTTTGACCTTCTTTCCCTGCATTCCCAACTGTGCGTTTTGTATGCTTCTCAACACTCTATACAAACTGATACTAGTTCTAAAATGCTGACATTTCTTAAACAAACTGAACTGGATGAAGCATATAGTGAGGTTTCAAAATTATGTGACTTAGTGATGACAATACCTGCCACAAGTGCGTCTGTAGAACGAAGTTTTTCTGTACTAAAGCGTATTAAAAACTTTGTCAGAAATTCCACAAGTGAGGAGAGGCTAGCTAACTTAGCAATTTTATCAATTGAAAAAGAACTTATTAAAGAAATGTCTGAAAATCCCAGTTTTTATGAGTCTGTGATAAACGAGTTTGCCAAGGTTGATAGAAGAATAGAGCTGCACTACAAGTAAAAAGGTTAGTAAGTCTTTTTATCATTTCCTTTAATTTGCATCCCTTTCTTCTAATGTCACGGCACGCCACTGATCTATAGCCAAAAATCTATTCATGTGTTGCATATGTCATCTTTCCATCTCATTTGCGGTCGACCTTTTTGCAGTGTATGGTTTCGAGCGGCCAATTTCTTTATTCCATCTTCCATTCTGATATCTTTCGTTATACCCAGCCCATTTCCATTTTAATTTCAATGCATGTTCGACAGCCTCTGTTGTTTCGGTTTTGCATCTTATCCACTCATTCTTCTTTTTATCTCTCAACGATATTCCCAACATTTGTCTTTCCATAGCTCTTTGAGTTTTCTTTATTCTATCTAAGTTGATTTTGGTACACGTCCAGGTCTGGGCACCATATGTCAGAACAGGTAGGACGCATGCATTAAATACCTTCGTTCTTAATTTTATAGGTATTTTTTGGTTTTTGATAGTATATGAGAGTTTTCCGAATGCAGCCCACCCCATTCTTATTCTTCTGGTTACTTTTGTCTGCTCTGATAGCTTCTTCTAAGTAAATATATTCTTGGACGTGTTCTATGTTTGTTCCACCCATGGTAATTACTGATCTGTCTTCTGTATTAGTCATTATTTTAGTTTTCTTTAGATTCATTTTTAGTCCTTTCTCAAGAGATGTTTTTTCTAGGTCTGAAATCATTATTCGTAGTTGTTCCATAGTTGTTTCTATCAGGAGTACATCATCGGCGAATCTTAGATGAATGAAATATTTCCTGTTTATACAAATCCCTTTATTGTCCCAGTCTATAGATTTAAAAATGTCTTCCAACGCCAAAGTAAATAGTTTGCGTGAGATTGTATCCCCTTGTCTGATACCTCTACAAATTCTAATTAATGGAGTTTGCAAATCTCTGTCTAGCTGAATTCTCATAGTGGCGTTTTGATATATATTGTGGATTAACATTCTGTACCGTGAATCTATTCGGCAATTAACTAACGCTTCTTCCACTGCCAATAGTTCTATGCTGTCAAACTCTTTTTCCTAGTCAACAAACGCTAGGTATATTGGAAGGTTGTATTCGTTGGTCTTTTCTATCAATATTTTAAGAGTGTGAAGGTGGTCGGATGTGCTGTAGCCCTTTCTAAATCCTGCCTGCTCAACTGGTTGGTATGCATCAAATTTGTTGTTTAGTCTAGTTGTGATCACCTTAGTGAAAGTTTTATAGATTTGTGACAAGAGAGATATTGGTCTATAGTTAGCTAATTTTGATCTATTTCCTTTCTTATATATCAGAATTGTTTTTGCCTTGTTCCATTCTTGCGGTATTTGTCCTTCAAACAAACATTTATTGAAAAGTATCTTTTGGTAGTCTTTTATCTTTTCCCCTCCTTTTAACATTTCAATTAGAATTTCATCGGAATTACAATCATAGAGCAATGTATTTAACCAAATATGTCAAATCTATACTCAACATCTATACAAATATATATTAACGTTAAGACAAGGTAGGCCAGCTAACTCTTACGCACTGAGGTCGTCCCTAAATTCATCCGCTGGAGTAAAACTATCCACTTGGCTAATGTAACATACATGTATTATTGATCCCCGAGAACAGCTACAAAAACGTAAACATACAAATTCAGTCTCGTAATCCAAAAAAAGTAGTACAGTAAGCTGTACTGTAGACTAGTGCGACGCTTCAAAGTATGTTTACTATATTTTTTAAATTTAAATAATATTTTTAAAATTAAGTAAAGTCATTTATTTTTGATTTATTAATTTAGATTGTTTATATATGTATATATATATATATATATATTTCAATAAAATTTATAAAGTTTACATGTTGTAAAACGACTCTCCTTGTGACGTAAATGAACTCGTCCAAATGTTTACTAAGATTATATATAGTTCAGCTCAACAGGCCTTAAAGGCTCAAGGCTTCAACGGTTTTCTTCCATTTTTGCGATTTTGCCATTTTGTGC